CCACCAAAACATCTTTTTTCCAATTGATCCTCTGTAGCTTTTCCACATGGAAATAAAGAGTTTTTGTTCCAGATCACAAATGCTACTATAACACAGGGGATCAGTAATATTCCCCATGCCTCGACACAGGTTGCTAATAGTCATGGTAACTGTGGGCCTGCCAAAATCACATGGCAACCTTGCTTATTCTTCCTCATCTGTTTGCTTTCTACATTTCAAATATCTTCACTTAAGGACATTCACATTAAGTAAAATACCTCTATGTCAACATAAACGCTCCTGTATTTCAGGAGATTTAGGAAGAAACCTCCCTGCGTTTTCTCTCCCAGTGTCTTATAGATAGTTTTTAACTGTCAGGAGCTTCAGACTGCTGCTAGAAAAGTTATTGAAAATTCTGACACTGCTTTGGAGTAGGGATAATTAACCAGCAGCTAAAAAGTTAAAACTACTTTCTTTGCCAGTAATGATATTGGTCTACTCTTTTACAGTTCTTTTCCAGGAACATCACGATTTTGACATTTAATTGACAGAAACAGCACTATATAGAGAAAATGTAAGAAATGACACATACCTGGACCATCTTATGTAAGCCTGTGGGAAATTTGTTTGCGTGACTGTAGGACTGCATTATATGGAAATGTTCCCACCACTCCAGGAGCTGTGCTGTGTCCAAGTCAAACATGCGCCACAGAAACAGTGAAACCTTGCTTTCTCTAGATTGACATGTTGAAACTGAGCCTAATACAATTGATTTCAGGCTGCAGCTTATGCTTCTGCAGGGACATTGGCCCAGTCCCCCTGCCTGGCTGCTTGTTTCCATAAATGAAAATTTAGATGAGATCTGACTTCATGGTCAGATTTGCTGACAGATAAGGATGCACACTGAAAGAGCAAGTGCACAAATCTTAGGTGTTTTTTTAAACAAGATTATATATTTTCAACACACTATGCTCAGAAGTTTGACAGAGCTAGTAGACTCGTTCCTGTGTTGGCACTCCTTCTTTAAAAAAGTATAGGTAGTACGGAAATGACAAAACTCTATAGATTACTTCTACTCTTCACTCAGATCATGCTGTTATAGACTACACAAAGCTCTTTGTTAACAGCCAGCTGTAAAACACACATCTGAAACATGGAAATGAGAATACAGGTGTACAGCTAAGATTTGTAGTTAGCTTTTCACCACTTACAAAACTTTCCTAAAAATGTACTTTCTCCCAGTAGTTTGCTATTCTTTATTTTTTTACTGCATTTTATCTTTCTTGCTTTTTCCCTCATAGTCACTGGGATAATACTGCTGTATTTTCTTATTAAAAAATTAATTTTTTTTTCCACTGTACTGAATTTGACATATTGTTCTGCCATTTACAGGCCACACTCCAGAGATAACCCTAGACATCCATAAGTACTTTTCAGAAGAGATTTGCACCCGTTGCTGCAGACTTGAGCATAGGTTGTGGTTTTAAGGCAGACATCAGTAGGTGGGGAACAAGACGTCAGTGAGGCATGACTTGCAAGGAAGCAGAACTTGTATCAGGCCTAATGACAGCAGGACAGAACAGGATGTACAAGCTCTTCACAGAAGGCCTGACAGAACTCATGGCCTGGCACTTGGCTGCTTTCTGTACTTATGTCAGGTGGTTTACTGAAAGTTCTCACCCACAGCTGTGCCTTGCTGTATCATTTAAACCTAGACTACCACAAGATGTTCCACTGCTCAACAGGCACGGCCTTCCCACTGCTGCTGTTTGCCAGACTTAAACAGAAGATTGTGACACATTGATTCCTCTGGTTTACTCTCCTAACTTTAGGAAGGACTCATTCAAAAGGTAATTTGGAAAAATCAACAAAGGCAAAAAAATAAATAAAGAAAAATAAATAAAGGCAAAAGTTTCAAGGGCAAAAAGTTTCAAAATGAAAATCCACACTTCAGATTACTGAAATCTAGCTCATGAACTTGAAAAAGCAGCTGGGATTTATCAAGTTTCTCCTAACAGGAAATGTGAAGCCACCCTTTTTTTACCATATATGTTCACTTAAATCAGTCCATAAAATCTTGAAGATCCATTTTTGGATTCCACAGTTGATGCTCATAGATCACTATTTCTGTCTACAAAAAGAAGCTCAATTCTGGCAAATAAGAGCTGGTTAAAAAGCACCACTGGAGGTAATACAATAAAACTTGCAAGACCTGATCAGTTTCAGGCCAGAGGCAAGTTTGGTAATTGCAAGTTTGCTGCATCCACTAAAAGACTGTCTCTCCCTCATGCACTCAGATCTGTGCCTATACTAGAGAACAGCACAGTCATGAAGAAGAGGTGACTCTGATGTTCTTTACTTAATTCTTATTTAAGAATAAAGAATACTGTTTTTAGCTCCTGTGTTCAAGGCTTTCTTTGTACATACAATGAAAACGTTAGTTCTTGTAAATGAAACTGTCAACATGTGTAACAGCAGTGCATATTATGAACTCATAGATGTTTGTTCCTATGACAACCACGCTGAAAAATTAAATATATAGGCCAGACTCTTCATGATCCCACCAACCTGTAAACTGTGATTATCCCTTTCCCAGTAAGAGCTTGTCCTCAGCCCCTGCTAAAATATCATTAACACTGTAGCAAATTTCTTTAAAAGAAAGAGGTTTAGTAGACACTCACAGCTTTGTAATATGTTGTTGGGTTTTGATTGCAATTGTAACACTGCTTCTTCTGCAGGTCTTTCCTGAAGCTGATTTCACACAGAAATCCCATATTAGGACGTTTATGTTTGGGGTTTTTTTAGATATTTTTATACCACTAGCAAAGTAGCATTCATAGATTTAAATCTACAATAAAACTTAAGTTTGAAAACACCCTAGTTTAGAAAACTGTGTTAAGCTACATTCAGCTCTCCTGTCTTAGATAATACTTACGTGTAAAAGGAATATTTTTTTACTGCCTCTTAAAATTATCCCTTATATATTTTTACAGCCAATTCCTTATCCTTCTAATATGGCAGGAAAAAGCTAAACCACAACTGACTTCTGGTACAAGCATTTCAGAGATGAAGCAATAAAGTACCCACTGTAACTAACATAAAGTGTTAACTGAAAACTCAGCGAACACTATGACTTAAAAATATGATTGTTTACTTCTAACTTTTAGAGTCCTTTATGTGGCCTTTATGTAGCCTTTATGTGACAGTGCTTGATTCTTCCAAGGTTTTAGGGCTTTTCTAAATATTTGTGATGGAAACTTTCTCCCAGAATCAAAGGTACAAAATGTAAATAAATGCAATGAATTCACCTTAATCTGCTGAACAGAAACAGTTTCTTTGTGAGAAGTACAAACCACTTGTGATAAAGTATGGAGTACTGATACTGAGAGCAAACTATGGCAATGTAAACATTAACATTAGCTGTTCTGCTAATTTCTTCTCAAATATCTAGCTAATGTATTGGTCCACTGATGCTGGAAGTAGGAATAGGTTCTCATTTAGTCATCTCTTCCCGAATTATAGTTGTACTGCCCATACTCCAGAGAGGAAAGAAAGGAACATTTACATCATGTCACTGGAACCAGACTAACTACTGCCTACTTCATCTTATGGTCTCTGTAATTCCTAGACAGCATCCCTTTGAGACATTTGCAGTAATGCAAAAATCTGTGACACACTGGCCCCTAAAGAAAAATGTAATGGAAAGCTAATTTGAATTAATTTGTAAGTAAATAACAAAGGTCAATCTAAAAGCTTTTAAGGCCTCTGACATAGTTGCCCTCGACTTAAAGCTTGTCTCCACACTCCAGTAAAGGGGTATTCTCCAAATGAAAGGGGGTAAGAAGAATCTGAGTTAGCATCTAAATTTAAAATAAAATCCTAATTTCAGCAACCCTGCACATTACATCAGTGCAACACTCGTTTTTCACAGAAATATTCCTTTCTGCAATTCTAGAAATGAATTACAGATAAATATTAACTGTTGGGAGCAAAAGATGTGTTCTGAGCTGCCCAGCAGAGGGGCAGGGGGTCCTGTGGCCCTGCCCAACTCACCTGTGTAGCGCTGGGGCAGCACGGCCCCAGCCCGCTGGGCTGTACTGCAGTGCACTGGGATATAGTGGGCCAAACTGGTTTGTACAGCTCTGGACTGCTTGTACAGATTGGACCACGTTTAGACTGGGGTTATAGCGAGATATGCTGGGCCGTACTTGGTTTGTTCAGTCTAGAGGAGAGTGAGGGGAGACCTCACTGTCGGCCTTCGACAGCCTCACAAAGGGAAGTGGAGGGGCACGTATCGATCTCTCCACCCCATGACCAGCGAAAGGACCCGAGGGAACCGCCTGGAGCTGAGTCAGGGAGGCTTAGGTTGGATGTCAGGACAAGATTCTTCACCCAGAGGGTGCTTGGGCGTCCCAGAGAAGTGGTTACTGCTCCAAGCCTGACAGAGTTCCAGACGCGTTTGGACAACACTCTTGAGCACAAGGTGTTACTCTTGGGGATGCTGCTGTGCAGCGCTGGGAGTTGGACTTGATGATCCTTGCGGACCCCTTCCAACTCAGGGTATTCTAGATAGTGGGCAAAGCTGGTTGGGGCCGGGAAGGATGGGAAGAACGGGAAGAACGGGAAGAACGGGAAGAACGGGAAGCGCTGCGCCAACCGCTCCCACGGCCGCGCTCCGCCGCCGCCCCTCGCGCGCCCCTCCTCACGCGGCCCCCCCGGCGCCGCGCGCACGCGCCCAGCCGGCCCCTCGCGCGCCGCCGCCACTTGTTTTGGAGGCGCGCGTGGTCCTCTCCGATTGGGCGCCGCCGCCCCGCCCCGCCCCGGCTCCGGGACCGCCCGGGGAACTACATCTCCCGGCGTGCCGCGCGGCGGCGGCCCGGGAGCGGCGGGCGCTGGAGCGGGGCGCGGTGGTGCCGCGGCTTCGCCGGAGGATCCCGGGTGCGCGAGGCGGTGCCGCGGACAGGTCGCGGTGAGCGCGGCGCCCCCGCCCGCCGGGTCCCGCCGCCCGCAGGAGCGGCCGCGCCGGGAGGAGACGCTGCCGCCGCCGCCCCGCGGCGCGTCCCTCTCCTTCCTGCGGCGGGGCGAGGGCTGCCCCCTCCTCCGTCAGTCGCGGCAGCAGCAGCAGCAGCATGCGCGGCGGTGGCGGCGGCCGGAACGCGGCGGCGAGGGCACGGCTGGCTGCGCGGCTGCTGGCGGTGCTCGGCTGCGTCCTGACAGCGGAGGCCCAGGTAGGAGCCGGCGGCTGGCGGGACGGGGCGCCGCGGCGGGGAGCGGGCACGGAGCGCGGCCGGGCAGGGATGCCCGCCGGCTGTGGGTGGGCTGCGGAGCCCTCCCGGAGGGGCCGCAGGACAGAGGCGGGAGGTGAGGCCACTTCGGGGGGTCGTAGGGGAGAGGGCAGCTCTGGGCCGTGTCGTGTGCAGGCTCCCCGGCAGAGAACTCGGGGAATCTCTTGTTGGAGTCCTTCCCCTTCCCCACCCTGCGGCTGACACTTGCCGGGATCCAGCCCGGGGCCGGTGCCGCCGGTCTGCGGGGAAAAGTTGGTTGACCTGGGAACCACAGGTAGCATCAGTAGTAGTCAGTGGGATACGTTGAGGAGTCGGGGCTGGATCATGCCCATGGCTTCAGGCAGAAAGTTCGGTGCCCTGATGAAGTCTGTGAGAAGCCATATGTTCCAGTGGTGATGCCAGTGCCCGGGCTTGGCTTGTGCTTGGGTCGTGTCTGTTTGCCCACGTTACAGGCAAGGATGAGAACACTCCTTCCTTCTGTAAGCTGCCTTCGTAGCTTTAGGGGGACATGTGTCTGTGGTTAGGAGCTCGCTGTTCATCCACCGTGTGACCGTGACTGAAATGATAGCTGGTGTCAAGTAGGAGAGGCTTTCCGCTGGGCCAAAGACGTGTGAGTTTTTTGAGGAATACACCATCCACATGGAGCAAAGCTTGTCCTCTGGATTATTATTTCTCTTACATTTTCTAAAATTCCGTGTTGCATTCTAAGTGGCCAGCCAAGGTGGTGATGACAGTAGCATAGATAACTTTTATTGCAGCTTTTTTTGTTGTAAGTTGAGGTTGTCTCTGTTTGACATTGTTTTATTAACTATGTTAGCATAACTAAATGCTAATTGAAGTGGATTTCTTAAAGAAGCACTTAATAAAGTGGCCTGGGTTTTTTTGTGATGCTTGGCAGAGAGATTGGTTGTTGGTGTTTCATAAAATTATTAGCATATTGACTTCAGAGTTTGTGCAGGGAAAGATAAGCTAACCAATAGTTCTTGGATTCATTTTACCTAAGGCTGTTCTCTCATTCTGCAGCCATGGCAAAGTAAAATGTCTGAGGAACAAAACAATGTGTCCCAGCTGGTCTTCTAACTGTTGAAGCAATTAAAGTACAACAGCCTGAGAACACTAATAAGGTTGTTTATATGAATAGATTGCTTATTATTATGTGCATTTTTTCAGCTTTTTTCCTTAATATTAAAATGCTGACTTTGTATTTCTTTCTAGATTTCATAAGGAGAAATTGATGCAGGTTGAACATTGACCTTTTCTTCTGAAAGGTTGATTTATCTTGGAGAAGATAAGTTAAAAGTTTCACTTCTCCAGTATAGCTCTGATACCTGTTCAAGAACTAAACTAGGTTTGACAACACCTAGAAGTCCTTTGATAAGTATATTGGAAAGGTAGAAAAAAATAACAGCTGCATCATGTCAGATGACTTCTTGAACACAAATTATAGTAATACTTCTAGAGTTTATTTAGAGCTCAAAGTGATTAACAGATAAAAAGAAACCATTATATTTGTCCATTGTAATAAAAGTGTGATAACGTACAGTACAGTTTGACTTTATGTTTGTGGGCTAAGTTAACTAGTGTAGTTCAATTAAAGACAAGGCAAAGTACCCATTGTGTGAATAACAAAGTAGGTCTTGCAATGTGTAGTTTTAACTGTGTAGTACACTATTTTTATATTGTCTCCAATTTGAAAAAACAAATTCATTGGACGATCCAGATGTTGATAAAAATGAAATTATTTTCTGCTTGTTCTTAGAGTGTTGTTCTTGTAAGTGAGAGCACTGAAGCCAGCACTTAGACTAATTAAAAAAAACCTCTGACTGGGGTACTTGAAGGAAGTTGCATCACTGTGCTGTGAACTGACTCCACTGCTGTGCAGTATTAGTGTTTAATATATGCTGTTAAAGTATTTTATAATTTGTGGTTTGGTACAGATACAGCTTAGTTTATAATTTTAGAGCATGCTTCCTAAGGAAACATTGATTTTGCTATTTTATGTATACAGGGAGCTAACTGTTCCAGTTCTGAAAAAGTTGTGAGAAAAAAAAAAAAAAAAGGAAAGTTAGTTTGCTTGCTCTGGTACTCTGAATTAATTTTTCTCTTCATAATTTCCTAGATCAGTTCTAGCTTTTTGAGGATTCATTTCTGAAACTTCATTGATCTAGGTAAAGCCTGCAGCTTTTTATGTTTCCATGAGGATTAGACACAGAGTGTAACTATTGCATTTACCTGGGACGTTTTTCCCCTGAAAAGACAATTTCCACTTTGTGTAGATAGTAAACTTATTTTTGTAAGCAGTGGATAGCCTTATGAGCTGGTCATCAAAATAGTTTCCTACTCTTTATCTTCAGTCCAAAAAAACTTTCTTAGATCATCCTATTTATATAGTTCAGTAATATTTGAGCAAAATGTTAGAGTTACCTCTTTGCCTTTTTTATATTAAAATGAAAAATTATGCTGTTTGCTTTGCAGTTTAGTGTTACCTGTAAGTTGTGCACCTTTACAGATTTCTGCCTGTGTGTGATCAATAAGAAAGTCGGAAATTTTAAATGAAATTAATATAGATTAAAGTGCATGGGAGTTTAATTTCTGTAAGCATCATTAATAACAAGTTTGTTTTTTTTCTGACTTTGAAGCTGGCAGCCATGTGGGCTGTGAAAAACCTGTAATTACACATTGGCTCTTTGACAGTTCTTTGCCCAGGTTTGAAGTCAGATAACATTAACAAGGCAGGCATAACAGCAGGAAAAATTTTTGGTTAAAGTATCTTTCCTTAAATTAGCTTTACTTCATTGCCATATCTGCTCTACAGAATTGTGACAGCCTATTTAGTGCCTCAGGAAAAGTAATATCTACATAAGGTGAATTTTCCACTTAAGTGCTTTATTGCCATATCCTCACCTCTTTATTCTCACAGAGAGCTGGGGGAAATCCATTTTCCAGGCCTCCTTTATGCTTTATAAAGGAGCACAAAGCCTGCAGTGTGTTTTCTAGTGGCTCTTTTAAGCACATCAAGCTTGGTTATATAAGGGTATCTGTTCTGTAAAGTACAGGAGTGATTTATCATGCATAAAACAGATTAGATGATTTCATAATCTCATCTATGTGAAATCTATGGAAGAAAAAAAAGCCACAAAATATTTTTTGTCTCCTTTTCCACATAGCATTTCAATAGTTAGAAGTTCTTCTAATGCCATGCAAAATATAAGATGTGTGGGCATTTCTATTTTAAATAATTTCTAGGCCATAATGGATGTCAATGAAGAACAGAAGCAAGTAAGCACCAGTGTTTGGTTCCATTCCCTTTTAGACATGTCTGAAACCTTCAGACATTTTTGTAGTAGTTTAAGAAGCTATGCCTAAGAGAGTTAGTTTAGATTTATTGAAATTTATTATATAACTGTTCATAGAATCACACTCTCAGTATTTCCACCTTTCAATAAGACATTGCCAGGGTCTCAGCAAGAGTGTTTCCCTAGACTAGTCTGTGACAATAGTTGGAGCTGCCCTCTCTGCTACATGCACAGTCCTGCCTTCCCTTTCTGTGTTGGCAGTAGAACTTCTGCACTTGTAGTGTGTGCTGCTTTTCATAGAGGTGGTTTTAACCTAGTGCAGCAGCAGTACAGCTTGCTGTCCTCGCACAAGAAGAGGGATGAGGCCTGGAAAAGTCACACTCCATTTCATGATAGATTGACAGCGTTGAAATATAGATACCTGTGCCTGGTTTTCATTGTATTTATTTGTTGAATTTATTTGTGAAATTGCAAACTTCTTGGGCACAGAAGAACCTACACTCCTTTCCCCCATGCCTCTAAGGAAACTAGATGGAGTGTTTTCACACTTTAAGAAGAAATATGAAAATAAGATGACAGTGTGTGATTGTAGAGTTTTTTTAGGCAATTTGACTTGTGAGCATCTGGTAGGAGAACAGTAGATTGCAACTTTACAAATACCATGTATTTGTAATTTGGAAAATCTTGTTGCTCATTCTTCAGAAAGTTCTATAGGCTGAAAGTGTCAACAAATTTCAGGGGTGAAATTGTTGGTCTTGTCTTGAAACATTGTTTCAGCCATGCATTTGGAGGTGGGCTTCAGCTCAAAGTGCTAGAGTTTTACTTTACGACATATGTTACAGAGTATTTTGTGATGAGAAATATTTGCTGTGGAACTGGATTTCACTAGTATCTGTTTCAATTAACATATTTTTCTCTTTGAAAGATTTTTCTGCAGTTAATGTTTCTATATTAAACATAAACGTTTGTGTATTTTTCAATAGCTCACAGGAGTCCTAGATGATTGTTTATGTGACATAGAAAGCATCGATGACTTCAATACTTTCAAGATCTTTCCCAAAATACAGAAACTGCAAGAACGTGATTACTTCAGATATTACAAGGTACACTTAGAATGGTATTTTCTTGAATAATTTGAATAAAATGCAGAAAATATAGGAAGGATTGCACATCAAGGCAACTTGCTAGTATTAAGCTGCCTATTAGAAGCCCACAGCTCTTTAATTTGGTTGAAGCAGGTTTTCAGTCCCTAATAGTTATGTTGGTAATAAGTCTTGTTTGCTATGTTCATCCTGGAGTCAGTGACAGTAAATCATGACTGTTTTCATTCAACTGATAAATTGTACTTTTAAAGATAGTGCCTTTGGAAAAGGCACTGGAAAAGGATCATATTTTAGCAATTTTATGACAGCATGAAGTGCTTATCTTCTAAGAAACATGTGTAATTTGAAATGGAAATATTGCCATGATTTACTTTTCTAATAAGTTACTGTCTTATTTCTGATTTTAGTGTTTGTTATTCTTTTGAAAAATAGGTAAAACTGTTCCTTTTTCAAGTAGTATGTAATTTCACTTTTTATTACTTGAATAATTTTTTTTCTCTGTTTTACTATCTGAATGCAAATGAAGATTTGAAGCCTGATACTTCTGTTTTCAGATATGCTTAACTTGAAAGTGAAGTTGCATTTTGACTGAGCTAATCAGATAGCTGCCTGCCACTGGAAAAATGAGCTCACACTCCTCTAGGGCTGCATCTTGCCTCTTTGCTACTTTTACCTCTCATTTAGATAAGTGCAACTCTTTAGCCTGGTAGATATTTAGTTTGGGTATTTCCATTTTTCATTTGATAGGGGGTTTTGTTGGTAAGGTTTTGTTGCCTTTGTTGGGGGGTTTTTTGTTGGTTTTGGGGTTTTTTCTCCTCAGGATGTAAAAAGTCATCTAGCTGATCTGGAACTGGACAAATATTAAACTCATGCAAGATGAGGCTGTGAGTGTGGAGAAGGAGAAGAAAGCACTAGACTCTTCCCTTTCTACCCTGAGCAAGCAGTGTCATGTACCTTCAACTGCACCTTGAATCTCCTGCTACATGATATAGTTCTAAATTCACTTTTCAGGAGAAACAGGATATGTGCAACTTTAGTACTAATACATCACGTAGTAGTGGCAATGAGATTCTCCAGAGGCAACAGAAAAATACAAAACAAAGTACGTGAAGATGAGGAGCGACAGGTATATGAAACTTCATACAACAGTAACTTCATCTTGCAAATTTAGAGCTAATGTTCATTTCAACAGCAGTTCTGCAGATCATACTCTAAAGGTGTGTTGCAATCCTGCCTCATCTTTTATACTGATCTTATGGGCAATTCCAAGGGCCTGTCCACTCAAACGAACCACACTTCACTTAGTACTTCCAGTGGTGCTAGGGAAGAATTTGTGTTGAACAAGCAAACTGAGTAAGTCAGTCAGAACATTCTTCACCCTTTCCTGTTTCAATAAGCAACAGCTCTTTTGATATCCCTGTGCAGAATGATGGAAGTGCTTTTAAGCACATAAATGGATGTGGAAATTGTGAAGGTAGGTTTAGGAATGGTACTCTCCACCAAACCATGCACCACTCTCTTTCATTCCCTGTTTTCCGTTCCCTCTCCATGCTATGTTATAATGGAGATGAGAATTGGAGGCATAAAAGGTAAAACTCATGGGTTGAAATAAGAACAGGTTTCTGAAAACAGCAGTGAGATAAGACAATGAACAGTAATGGAAACAGTACTAATGACAGGGGACATAAGAAGTAATTCACACGGACAGGAAAACAATAGTAGACAATATTAGATGATTCCCTCTGCCGTGTTTTATTTTCTCAACTGGAAAGAGCCCCTTCTCCCTGGAAGAAAGCCCTTTTCCACTGTCCCTGGCAATGATGCGAGGTGGTATAGAAGAACTCAAACCTTAATACAGAATGGATGTGGTAGTTTTTATTTAAAGACTTCATGAAGTCTTTTAGAAATTGTGCTAAGTGGTTTCTAAATAAATAGTAGAACACTTCCCAATTAAAGAAATAAACATTTGTATCTCTAGTTTTATACATCAAAACACTGAAACTGTGGAAACCTCACGATCAAGAATGTCTTAATTTGTGAAAGGACTGAATAATACTCTGAGTGATAATAATGAAATCCAATATCGCATACCCTGAAGAAGATCAGATGTTCTATGTAGACAATACAAGTGCTGTACAACCTCAGTTTATGTATGTACTGGTTTTTGGTGCTCTTCAGTCATTCTTGGACTAGTACATCTTGATTCACATGAAGTTTAGGCAGAAGTGTCCTTTTATTTACAGCATTCCTCTCTGTAAAAACAGCGCCTGTCTAGTTACTTATATCTTCCTCAGTGTGTAAGCATTTTTTATTGTGAGAGTTTACTTTGAAGAAGGTTGTAATTTAACTATGTTAACTGATCTTTTTTTGATAGAAATTGGTGGGAGGCCAAAGTTTTATATGATAGGCCTTACTGTGAAGGTGATATAGAATATAAAACTATTTTGTGCTTTGTTTGAAAAGATACGTATGAACAAGTACAAAAACAAATTTTGTATTATTTTTTTTCTAGGAATGGTGTTTGTGCATTGAATAGAGGAAATGGGGGGAGGCAACCTAAAATCTCTGCTTTTATTGTTCTGTGTTTGCAAGGTTTGAGCTGTAATGAGAAGATATTTGTCATCACTTCTAAGAAGTCATACCATCTGCTAAATGTTTTGTCGGGGGTTTTTTGACTAAGGAATATCTTTAACATTTTAAAATAATAATCTCTTTTTAGCTTGATTTTGAAATTAAAAATCATCCAAACACTTATTTGAATTAGTAAATTTCAATTTAATAGTGAGAGATTTAATTTCTGCTTTATTATATTATGTGTTTGTGTTCATTCACTGGAGGCCATTATCATTAACAGTTTTACTGCACAAAGCTTCGTCTTATGTAGTTAGAGAGACTAATTAAAAGAATTTAAAGGATTTCCTGATACTGAGAGCTTTTTTTTTCTACAGTTGCCTTATGTAAGTGTGGATTGTAAACTTCTGGTTTTGTATGTTTAGGTCAACCTGAAGAGACCATGCCCATTTTGGGCTGATGATGGCCATTGTTCTATCAAAGATTGTCATGTAGAGCCTTGTCCTGAGGTATGGATCAAATAATATATTATATAAAAAGGGCTTTTGGCTAAAAATTTGCTAATTTGCAGTGGCTAGTACTATAGTACTAGCTAGTGACTACTAGCAATACTTAATAGTGAGAACTTAAGTTTAATTAGAAGTGACAATTTTTTTTTCCATTCCAAAAGTAGAAATACAACCAAAATATTTTAAGGTCTTAGTCATTTTATGAAGAAAGCAGATAACTTCAAGAATAAGTCTCTTCTAAGCTCTTCCACTGTTTTGCGTATAACATGTTGAGAAGGTAAAGGAGCAAGTTAAGTTTTCAAAAAACAAGGTTGCTTTGACCTCTATAGGAATGATACCTAATTTGTAGATTTTAATAAAGGATAAATGTTTCTATGAGCAGTGTAAAAGCTGTGATTTATTTTTTATTTTTAGAGCAAAATACCTGTTGGAATTAAGGCTGGGAGCTCTAATAAAGTGAGTACTCCTTCATTTTCAAAGTTTTCTGATTTTTTTTTAAATCTTAAATTTATAACAGCTATGTGACTTTCTAGTACAAACCTTCAGTGTTCACATACTGATGAAATAGGTAACTGATCAATTCCTGTATGTGGCTTTACCTTTTTACCTTTATGTATAGTGGTTTTTCTGACATAGCTGGTACTGTTGTGCCATTTTGAGTCTGTCATTGCTAAAGAGCTGATGCAGACTGAATCAATGAATGACAAGGGACAGCAGTGCATGGCCACAGAATGCCTGATGCAGAGTACCTGATGCAGAACTGTTGCTTTGTTTGTGACTATAGGCCACCTTTTAAACAGCTATAGGCTAAGATGCACAGAGGCAGTAGCAGCACAGTCTTTTTTAGAAATCATAAATAATCACAACATTCCATATTAAGACAACCCAAATGATTGTGTGGAGTTCTGCTATGCCTTATTTTCAAGAGGTCATTAGTCTAAAGACAATTTAGGCCAAAGTGGCCAGTGCAAACTTAAGCAGTCAGTCTGTACTGTTGGCTTTTGCTTGCATTTCTCCAAGTCATCCTTTCTAGATCACCAAGTGAACTTAGCAAAGCCAAAAAGTCGAGAGGTTATATATGCCTAGGAAAAGAGGTCAGAGCAGAAAGACTACCCACACATCCCAAACACAGTGCCCAAGAATGAGGATTTTAGCAGTTGATGGGATAATGGTGCCCAAATGAGAGATCTTTCCATTCAGTGCCTTGACTGAGTTGTAGACCTCTTGATCAATTATCTTATCTCCATCCTCCCCAGTGCTTTCTACCTCAGTGGGCAGACTGAGTGTAGTTCACCATATCATAAAGGACTTATGAAAAGGACTGCTGGCATTGGGTTTAGATCTCATGCCAAGAAATGTTATCAGAGATAGTTGAGATGAATACTTCATTGTGAATTGATGACTTGTGTGCTGCTGTCTGGAACAGAGCAGGCAAATCTGTCCAAGCCTTTAGCTCAAGAGGAAGTCTTGTTTCTTTTATACATACGTTGTTAACTCACTCTGAAGTAAAGACTGCCTCTTCATTTAAAGATTCCTGGTAATCATCTTTCTCACTGACATGACCTAAATGTCAGTTGTTTGCCATTCCAGCACAAGTAGCAGTAGTTGTTCTGAAAAGCTGACACTATCTCTGGACAGCAGATCTTGTGTTTTATTTGAATAATCTGTTACCAGTTCTCTTTTTCATTGATGCTTTTATCTTTCAAGCTTGATTGTAGAGAAGATGACTCCTTGAATGCCATAATACCTCCTAAAGAGAGGAGACTTGATAAGACTTTAAAAATTGTTTCAGAAAGGGTTCTTTCTGAGTTTGAGCTTCTTGATTGATTAATCTTGAGAGTCATAAATAAGTTGTTAAATAGTAACCAAAGGCATGCTGTTCTTTGGAAACTTCACATGAGCATATCAAATTGGATTTAGGAAGTGAAAAAAATGGATACCTTTTGCTTTCAGCACAATAAAGACATCTGGATAGATTCTTTGGGAAGCTGTCATTTGCTGTATGTTCGCTACAGTGGTTTCCTTTGAATTGTCTTGCAAGTTGTTGAAACCAGCTACAGTACTGAAAGTTAGGCAATTCTGTACCCTTAATCTGTAGTAGAAGACACTAATATGTGCTACTTTTCTGTTAGAGAGGCAAATAATTCTGGTTGAAAATTGTCATCATAATGGACATGAATCTTGCCTATGTGATTTTCTTACTTCTTAGGGTTCAGTTAAATGATCTTTTTTAGACCCAATTAAAAACTGACAATCTCATTTAATATCCCTTTTAAGGAAATATTAAATTCATTTTAGTATGAATGTTTTGTTTCAAGGACTATGCAAGTACTGTACTATTAGCCTGTGCTAATTTCCCATTTGGGGAAGTCTTACACTTTATGGCTTATCTGTAAAGTACTGGATTAAAAAAAAGGATGTTTTTTGCCCTGAGAACACATGCATGTCCAGTTTCTCTCCTTCATTCTGAAATTGTTGGTCTTGGAAAGCTGAAAATAACCAAAGGCATTGTGGAGAGGTTTTCTGCGGCTTCTGTCTAGTTTTCCATTGCCTTTCTTTCCTAATGTAGAGGAGCTTGTAAACTTCTAACTTTATTTAGGTTTTTATGGGGGATTTTTTTGTTTGCTGAACAATGAAGAAAACGGTTCATTTGAATGTTCATCTAGCTGCAAAGACCAAGGTTACACTTGTATGCCTTCCCCATAGGAGTGCAGTTATCAGTAGTCTTTTTAATTCTTGACACCACTGCCTTTTGAAATAGTGCTGTAGAGGCACACAGTCATTTCCTTTTCTGTAGTTCTGTTGCATTTGAGTGGTGAATACATATTTTGTGGCTACACATTAAAGCTGTATTAATCTTTAAAGCGAGAGACAGGATACAGTAACTCCAGGTTACAACATTCAACTTCGTAATTTATTTCCTGCCCTTCTCTTTTCTGGTGTTTTTTTTTTTTTTTTTTTTTTTTTTTTTTTTTTTTTTTTTTTTTTTTTTTTTTTTTTTTTTTTTTTTTTTTTTTTTGTTTTGTTTTGTTTGTTTTTTCCAGTAACTGGCCTTAGGAGATCCTGGTTGGCAAGAATAGATATTTTGTCCTGATCTTGTCAGGGGTCACAAAGCACTGATCTGACAACTGTTGCTATTAAACACAGGAGAATAGGAAAGGCTGGAAACATATTTTGAGACCTGAATGATCATTTTGACAGAAAGTTTCAATTTAGAATTCTAATCTTGGTAGTAACCTTTTTTCACTTCAGGGTAGGGATAGGTTTGCAGCTCTAGACATGCAGAATGTTTGCCTCAGCATCTCCTTATGTTATTTCATTAGCAGTATCTGTTTCAGTCCAGGTTAAGGCCATTTCTTGTTCCCATTTTTCTTTTTAACATCCATACAATGCTAAAGAATGAAGTCTTATGCCTGTCAAATCCAAGAAAATTGAATGAAAAATTCTTTTTAGAGTAAATATTTATGGGCAAGGCCTCTAACAAGATTTAAATTATCTGTTATTTCTAATCTCCTTTGCTTCTAAGGTCTTCTACTGTTTTTCCTCATGTTGGTTCAGGCAAATGCATTTTTTAAAAGGAAATAATTTTGCTTACTAATCTGAACAGTTTTAATTAAATTTCTTTTTTTTTTTTTTTTAGTGATACATATTGTCATGGTACTTCACCTCTGACATCTTGACCACAAAGCTGTCCACAGAAATTAATTACTCTTTCTCTTAAAATTTATAATTTATTTGTTTTATTAACTGACATAAGGTTTAGTCTGCAAAAAAGACACATTACGCCCCCAAATCCAAAAACCCCAAAAAGGAGGAGATTGAGTTTGTCTTAATACAGCACTGTTACTACCTTTAATGTTTCTAAACTTAGAAGAACTTTGAGCTTTAAGCTGACAGACTTAAATTCCCTGCTTACATAACTATATTACTATAGAATAGTGGAATATAATCTTTAATTCCTCAAATGTTTTCCTTAGACGTGTTCCGTAAGTAAGTATTTTAGTGGATTACTTTTTAAAAAATACTTCAGAATCAAAGTTCAGCTTATATATTTCCATTCTGTCTTTAATATAAGCAAAATTTGAGTTCAGCTGAAAAACTTTGTCTTCCAGACCCGTGTGCATGTGGAGCAGGCCAGTGAATTGGATTAAAGGAAACATGAGGGGGAAATGGCCAAAAGTAATAAATATACCTACTAAAATGAAATTAAACTTGGCATATTATTATACTAGAAAAAAAAAAAAAAAAGAAAAAGTAAATAAGTATCTGAAACACTCCATGTAGGGTGTTTTATAATAAAATAACTCAATTTAAACAAAAATCAAATCAAAATTTTGATGTCTTTAGCTGAATTCCCTGTAGCAGTTAAAGTCAGAGTGAAATCAGCCTGATGAACTTAAGTGAAAAAAAAATCAAAGTAAGAAATGTTCCAGAACCATATTGTGCTTCTAGAATAAGAGCATTTTTAATACTAGGGAAGTCACTGCTAAACTTAGAAAAAGACCTTTCAAAACACCTGTTCTTGAGGATTTCAGTAATTCATTTGCATGTTAAATATGACTTTTTCTACAGTATTCAAAAGCAGCAAATAATTCCAAAGAATTGGAAGACTGTGAGCAAGCTAACAAGCTGGGAGCAGTTAACAGTACCTTAAGGTATGCTGTGATCTACATCAACAGTACAAAAATAGTAAGAAAGGAACACTTTATTTTCTCTGTCTGATATGCTGGTTTTTGTTCTTCATTCTGTCCATAACCCATTAGAAAGTAAATGGGAAATGATGCAAGAACATCTGAAGAAAAAGGTATTAAATTATAAGTAGACTGTTTTTTTTGTTTAAAGTATGCTTTGATACTACTTAAAAGAGGTATCATACATCATCAAGAGTCAGAAGAATCCTGCAAATGGAACTACCTTTTCTCTATTCTTTGTTCTCAACAACTACTGGATTAAGGGGTTTGGTCCTGCTTTGTCCCACTGCTGCACTGATGTGCCTATTTGTGATCATTCAGTGAACCAGATCAGGGAGTTGAGTTACTTTTGTTGTTGGCAAAGTTATTTTTAGCTTGGGCCAGTTCTCTGATCTTGCTTATTGCATGGCACTGTCAAGATTGGATAGGAGAAATTCTTCAGGATGGCATTGTCCCTGTGTACAGAAGTCTGTGGAACAGCATCTAGAAAACATAGCACTCTAATGGATTCCCCACTTTTGAAAAATAGAAATACACAAATTAAATTTTCACTGTTAATGGAGGGATATGGTGTCTTTGCCCACAAATTTCAGCAGTTCTACCTGGTAAAGATTTTGAAACTCTTTCTTGTGCCATGAAAAATGACCATTTCTGCCTAGTGTGTGGTGTTTTAGGGGAGGTAAGAAACTGTTCTGTTCCATTTCTGTAAGGCAAAAGAATAGAGACTGTAAATGGAGAGCTAGAGAAAATGTCTTTATGAGAGTAGGACAGATGATTAAAGTTGGAAGAGGGCAGGTACTGGATCCTGCAAGTGGAGGACGAGTTTGTGCTTTGCAGGAAAACCTCCATGTTCTCTACCTAGCAGTGCATTATCCTGTTGGTTTTAAGCTGTTTTCCTTTATAAGTTGTATTTCTTGTGGTTATCAAATCTTGTCTTTTGGTAATTACCAAAGAATTTCCTCACCTAATGCCAAGTATAATGTCTTCTATTGTGATTTGGCAGAAGGTTAGAAATGTGTCTTGTTGTAGAATTGCCTCTGTAGCGTTGAGCTGGTTCTAATTTGATTAAACAGAATAGGTAGTTTTTGTGATTTCAAGGCACTTCCCTGCACTGGGACAAGTTCCTAATCTTAGCTTTGCTTACATTTTGCTGTCAGTATTGTGGCATCAGTAGTTCTGTGCTGCACACAGTCACGGATGAAAGGTTTTGGCACTGTTTGTATTTCATAGTGTGGGAGCTTCAAACTGCTTGTCTCTCTAGTACAGTGCAGAAAATGCTAGAGTGAGTGGAATGCTATTATTATTAAAATGGTTTCAGAAAAATCATATTCAATCATACTTTAGCTTAGAAGAGGGATTTAGACATCTAGTCTCCCAGTATAAAGTAAGGCACTAACAATCGTAGCTTTCATTGAAAGTAAAGGTTATGAAAACACGGTGATTCCTCCCTCCCCACCCTCAAAGTGACAGCTGCTAAAGTAGTACTCTGAAATGTGTTAAAAATGTATTCTATGACAATATTTTACCAAGCTCTTATTGAAGGAAGAAAAGTCACTGCAGTTAGTTCAAATAATGGTGAAATTTTTGTCTCAACATCAAATTGACTTTTGAAAGTATTGCAGTTGGTGCCCGCTTGAATCTCTGCAGTTAACAAGGGGTAGCTCCACATATTCTCAAGTTTCAGATATACTGACTCAGAATCCACTTCCAAGCTATATGTAGGTTGTATTCTTTCAGAAGCTCTTATTGACATTGTTGATTTAAAAGTTTAAAATCAAATTTCTTTTTTCCCCTCAGTAACCAAAGTAAGGAGGCTTTCATTGACTGGGCAAGATACGATGATTCACAGGATCATTTTTGTGAACTTGATGGTAAAATGTTTAAGCTTTTTCAGAGTGTTTATTTTATTTACTGTCTCATAAAAAATGCAAAAGAGCATGTTTTCTCTACAAATAGCCATTTTTAAACAGTTTTAATTTTCTCCCAAGTGACAGAAATGTGACAGTTCATATCATACACACAAAGTGGAAATTTTTGCAATTTTACAAGGAGTCTTTGGTAGCCTACACAGTGCACATTCACTGTAACCTCCTTGTAGTATATTGAACAGGAGATATTTATGTAAACAAAAAAGATGGTAAATGGGAGGGTGGTAACACTTTTTCAAAAAGCTTCTTACAAAAAAATTTGCATCTAGCACAAGTATAAGATAAATGGCTTGCAGCTGATTGTTTCTTACTACTATATTGTTTTGTTGCTACTTTACTGTGCTTGGATTGAGTTTGTTCCTCTTCCTGCTTTGCTGTTTCCAAATGATTTCTGCATCCTTATTTGAAAAGACTTTCTTATTGTTAAAACATTACGATACTAGATTGTGTCTTTCCTCTCCTCCACGTATGTGAGTCTTTATTATTTAATATATATGTAACATTCAAAGGAGTGTTTTTCAGATAAGTGTGAGAATTGCCAACTTCAGGATTGACTAATGAAGTCCTTTTTAATAAATACCTTAGAAAGCTTCCTATGCTAGGAATATTAAGGTCATAATGCTGGATGTTTTCATCTACCCTTAGGCTTATGTTTGGTGTCACCTGAGAAGGTAGCAGCTGCAGTGGACCTAGCAGCTGCAGTTCTCTTTCAGCACTTCTGCTGTGCCTGATCTGAATGCTTTCTATGTGAGCTGTTTTTGTAACAGCTGATGAGCATTACTGTAGATCTGAACTGTTATGTAGAATTATCTGCTGTTGTCTCTATTACCTTCAAATTGTATACATATATCTTTTAGTAATACTGAGCTGTGAAAGATGTAGTTGAGGATCATTTCTTCTAGAAATAATACTAACTTAAGTAGTTCCTGATTCTACCTCCATCTCTCCTTATATCACGCCCTACTGAAGGAGGCTGTCCCCAGCTGTGTTCTTCCAGTGTGGTTTTTTTTTTTTTTGCACTGGCTCTGGCGTGCTTCTTTCTGCATGGTAAGCTGATTAGGCTTACCTAAATAGCGGGAAAGTAAGTTGCTATCTCCCTGCCACCTCCCACACTGTTGTGATGAACTGGCTTGTTGGGTGAGTTTGTGATCTGGAGCAGGGAGAGTGAGAGAAAATTACTACTGGGAGTCAAGGGGAGGAAGCAGAAACCCTTGCTCTCTTCCCCTCTCTTCCTGTTTGGCTTAATCATAAACTAGATAAGGAAATTGATCTAGCTGAAAAAAACTAGTAACCCAGGCCAGCTTTCCATCTTTCTGTTGCATGGTTCTGCAGTCACATAGACTCAGTTGTATGTGGATAACAAGAAGAAAAATGGACCCCAAAGTGATCAGGGAGTGTAGGAACTGCTTAGATTAGCCACACTGTCAAATAAATAAGTAAAGCTGTAATTTGACTTTCTCTCATCTGGCACTCGTGTGTCTTGTATCAGTCTCCTTTCTTTGTTTTTGCTGCTGCTGCTGAAGCAATGCTTAACTGCTCATGCAGAATCATCTCTTCTTTTTTTAGAACAGTTTCACTCTCTGTTTCTGTGGGGTTTTTTGATATCTGAGGAAGTACTATGTGGCACTTCTTGGTCTATTACTATGAATAAGTCCCCGGACTTACGGCTTATATTGTATCTGGGGTTTGTTTAAGCATGAGTTGGTCATGACCTAGAATTTCAAAGAGGGGTGAATTCCTCCTGCTTTTTACTGGTTGTAGCTTGAAATGATTTCTGTTTCTACAGTGCTTTTAAGCAGAGGGAGTCCTGCTTCACAATTTGCTTTGGATAAGTTACCTGAAATTTGTAGTGAACTTCCAAGATGAGGGTATAGCTTGTTGAAAGGCTGCTTAAGTAACATGCTTCTTGTTGTATCCAAGAGATTTATTCTGCAATATGCTGAAAGTTTTGTACAGTTAAGCAATGTGATCAGACTTTTCTGCCAGTATACAAGAGTATTTGGAGGAAAAATGGATTTAGCTAATAAATTGACAGTATATATCAGCTACAAGATTTACTACTTTGATCTTGTCTTTATTAAGAACCCACTGTATGCAGAATACCAATTTCATAAAAGCAACCCCCTCAAATACTGCCAGACAAACCCTAAATTTGGAAGCCATTTAAAACACAACACTGTTTAGGTCTTAGCCTAGGGTCAGGGAATACAGTGCATGTCAAGTGTTTATGGTAGACTTAAAGAAGCCACGTAGTTTATCATCAGACATTATGGAAATTGGAGACACAGGAGACTTGGGAATTGATTATGTGCTTTTGAGCTTTGTATTTAGTGTGTATATAGCTGCATTTCTACATACATGGCACTTAAAATCCAACTGGAAGACAGATTATGAGACCTCTTGTTTATATTTAGTTCTATGAGACTGGTTAAGTTAAATCTTTTTCAATGGATCACTTAGCATATGTAACAAAATTTTTCCTATTTAGATGAGAGATCTCCAGATGCACAGTATGTGGATTTGCTGCTGAATCCAGAACGTTACACTGGATACAAGGGGCCTTCTGCTTGGAGAGTATGGAACAGCATTTATGAAGAAAACTGCTTCAAGTAATTGGGAAGGAGAAGAAGCATATTTCTTATACCTGTACATCAGTTTAGCTAAAAACTGATCTTTGTGTTTTCTATCTTATTTTTTAGGCCTCGATCTGTCTATCGTCCTTTAAATCCATTGGCACCTAGTAGGGGTGGGTCTTGCCTGTTTTATTTTCCAATGCACTTCTTTTAACAGAGTGACTGTTGCAGTGTAAGGGATACAGATAGTAATCTCCAGTCTGTAGGTGTGCTTTCTGCTTTTTTAATTTCCTCTGTAGAGGTAGCTGTACATTTTTAATATTTAGACTAAAGCTTGTGATACTTTATTACATACATGCCTAATCTTATCCCTGTTAATAGGCTTATTAATGTCAGGTAAGCTGATATGAAAGCTAAATTGTAAGTCCCAAACTTCTCCACAAAGTGTCACACTAGTTTTCCAATTTGAATGCACTTTTGTATTCTTGTTTATTTTTTCAAAAAGCATTTAATTTAGTCACTTCAGTTCATACTTATCCTGGTGTAATGTGGTTGTACATTTTTCATCCATAGTGTACAGTGTATTGTGAGTGTACAAATAATTGTAGTATTTGAAGGACTGGACACTTGCAAAGAATCAGTTATGTGCAAAATTGTTTTAAAAAAAGTCTATTATTCTAATAGCTTGGGATTTGTTTTCAATTTTAAGTTGAAAGCTATAACTGATGTTTCAAATGAATCAGCTTTCCTCTGTCAGTGTGTCCCATTTCCCTTAAAATTAACTATTAGCTAGTAGATTCAGTTTAAAAATCACCATTCACTAGAAAATCAAGATATCTCAATATTTATAATTACTAAAAGCTGATACAAATAAAAAGAATTTTGAGAATTGTTTAATGCAGAGATCTGTATTTCAGGAAGGAACTAATTGTTGAACAATGCAAACTAAAGACTATGACTTCTTAACTATTTTTCTGAAGCTAAAATACAACTTTCAAGAATATGTGAATCAGCTGCTACTAAGATTTAAATTTCTTAGTGACTTTCATTATTACAATGTGTCAAGTCTTCAGGAGCAAGAATGGAGTGAAGGAAAATAGCCTATTTTTTATAAATAAGGTTTCTTGCACTTTTTGAGTGTTTGTAGTAAAGTCTATGTTTCATTACTGCTTTGCTGTGGAAATTATCTTTTTAATGCTTATGCATTTCTTTTTTTTTCCCCTCTAAGGAGGAGATGATGGTAAGTCATCTTATTTTTCTTGACCTGCAAAAATGAAGTAAGCATTAGAGAGTTTTGGATTTTGGATTTATTCACTTTACTATTATCGAATTAGAGAGCAAGAAACTTATCTTTCTTGAATAAGAGAGCAGAAAAGTTATGTTTTTATACATATTATTCATTAGAAAATGTTTTTAATGGACTCGTACTTTCATTTGGAGTAAAGGGAAGGAGTGGATAAGAGCAAAATACAATTCTCTTTTTGGTTCTTATTCTTGTAGCAGAATATGTATTGTAATAATGTTATTAGTTCTTCCAGAACTCCATTGATACTGATGTCAGATCCCTTAAAAGAAGAGGGACAATTTTTTGTGTATTTTCTTGAATGCCCTTGATTTTGGGAAGACTGGGAGAGAGTGGGGAGAAAGTATTTGATCTGCCTACAGTGCAGCAGACTTAAAGATTTTTCAGTCAACTGAAAGCTCTCAGGCAAAAGATCTGAGTCTAAAGGAAACCTTTAGGCAGATTAAGGTAAAGGCTGTCAGAATTGCAGTCTGCCAGCATGTCTTTCACCAGCAGTGCAAATAATTAAACTTGTGCTCCCATACACTGTTGAATGCCCTGACCAGTAGTTTAGGCATGCTCATTCTTGTATTTCTCCTGTTCTCCTATCCAACACATTTAAATTGACCTCCAAGTTAGCTGCTTCCATGCCTGTTTTCATTTCAATAGCTAAATTTTTTAACTTCATGTTAAATTAGATAGCAACTGATGTTGTATGCATAGTGATATAAAGATGCTGTAATGTTGAAAATTAATACTCTCCATTTAACTATGTACTTTGTATTTACAGGAGAATCTTTCTACACATGGCTAGAAGGTAAAGGCTCTTGGATGAGTGTTATAGTCACTAGAAAGAACACTGTAGCACTTTTTTCATTTCTTCAAATATTTTTCATAGTGTGGGCTTTTTCATAAATTGTGCAGAGCTTCCAAGTGTTGTTCAAATACTACTTACCTTGAGGGTCTTTAAAAATCTTCTAGTTTACTTAGGCAACATACTCCTTAAACATTTGTTTTATCTTTCATAGAGGAAATTCACTTCATTGCTAGTTTGAATTTTCTGGTTATTTTAGGCATTTAAACAGAGGCATTATTAGTAGTAATATTGGTAAGCATTATTATTTGGAAACAGCTTTAAAGAACAGTAAAGATTTTGGTGGCTCTGTTCCCAGTTTATAATCTAAGTCTGTGTGTTCACGAGGCAAAGCAATTTTCCTTTTATTCATGTTGAAATGGAAATTATTATTGCAGTAGTAGCAATGAAAATCCCATTTTGGAGGTGTGCAGAAAATTGAGTCAAATGTACTTAATTTTAAGATTAGTTCATTCTGCCTTTCCTAGGCCTTTACTTGTCTGGTGGTATTGTAGGAAAGCATATAAATTTACATGCCTTTAAAAATGTAACATCTCTAAGTGAGAACACATGTCAGCCTCACAGGTAGGCCTCACCATCAGCTCTTCCTGCTTCCATTTGTAGAGCTTGGAGTGGCAGGAAAGTTGTCCAAACATATTTTTTAAAGGAACAAACTCTTTAATTTCAAGTGTAGTCTCTAACTTTGGTTCTCATTGGAATTGTAAGTAATTTCTGCATATAAATTATATTCTGACATCTCAATGCCACTGTTTTTCCATTTATGCTGTAGAAGTCTGTATTCATCAAGTCATATTTTCCAAGGTTTTGTCCTGTGCATTTAAGTCTTCAGTGAATTTGCAGTATAGCTATGAAGAGGTATTTTTCTGTTTTCTAGTGCTGTAAGGTTTTTCTGGGCCTTTTGGTGTTTTTCTTTCACTCCTCTAATTCAGTGGTAGCTCTAATTGTAATTAAGACAGTCACAGTATATTTCTGATTTCCAGATGGTCAAAATTCAACATCAATTCAAATGTATTGATCAAACAGTACAGGCACCTTATTTTTGTGTAGCAATTTATCTGTGCCAAATGAACAGGTCCTTATTTGACTGTGTTTACTAGAACACTAAAATAGCAAGCAAGAAATGTCAAATGTCATTCTTAGTATTGCTTTATAGAAAAAATAGAAGATAAACTTTACCTATGGTGGCTCTAAGGGCTTATTAACAATACTTAAGTGCAGTAATTGTAATTCTTGAAAAATCAGCAATGCAGACTTGCATCATTAAAATGTCAGGGTATATTAGTTTAAATAAATTATTTCCAGTATTTAGTTTGGTATCTGTTTGTCATTTTTCCTGGACAGGTCTTTGCCTTGAGAAAAGAGTGTTTTATAAACTCATTTCTGGACTCCATGCAAGCATCAACTTGCATCTGTGTGCAAATTATCTTCTTGAAGGTATGTCTAGGTAAAATTGCTGAATGGAATTCTGCAATATCTGTAGTATGTATTTTGTGTTTTCTGAGAATTGTTCAGGTATGCTTAATTGATTTTATGTTCTAAATGTGTCTCTTTTACTACCCCTGTACCCCCTTTTTCTTTCTCTCTGTAGAAACGTGGGGGAAGCCCCGCTGGGGACCAAATGTGAAAGAGTTCACTCGTCGCTTTGACCCTGCTGAAACGAAAGGAGAAGGACCAAGGAGGCTGAAGAACTTGTATTTCTTGTATTTGATAGAGCTGCGTGCTTTGTCAAAGGTTGCTCCATACTTTGAGCGTGCAGTTGTCGACCTTTACACCGGCAATGGCCACGAGGATGCTGAATCTAAAGCTCTTTTACTAGATATCTTCAGGGATACCAAGTAAGGCGTGAGGGATTTTTACCAGTAGTTTGAGATTTTCAACTTCATTTGGAAGTGAGAATAGGTGACTCCTTGATAGGATAGGAAAAGGAGAGTGGAACAAAGAAATAAAATTTAAGTAATGGGAGAGATCAAGGGCAATTTGTACATTTGATAGGACAGATTAATAGTTTTGAGGTTTGAATATACCAATCTTTAAAAACAACCAAAAACCCCAAACAGCTCAACACCCTGGGTTACTTCCTGTGTGTTGCTTTTTCTGATTCTTCAGTATAAGATGCACAGGATTGATTTGGAAAAGGTGCATACAGTCTTTTAATGGTCCACTGAGTAATCCAGATTTTATCAAAGACTTAACCTCTGGTGGTTTGGCCATCCTTTCTTCCTTCTATTTATTCCATAATGTTCTTAAGTTCAGTTTCTTTGCTCTCCTTTTTGCTAGTTTTTGTGATTGGTAACAATGTTGTATGGTTTCATTGCTGTCCCTAATTGTGGTCTTGCTAGGTAATTGAGATGTAGTCAGGCAATGATGAGTGGGAAGGCAAAAATTAAGCCAATTTCAGTATTAATTTGAACAAAACTCTGAATAACAGATTTCAACTTAGTGATTGCACAATAAAACCAATTCCACTGAGTATTTTTTAAGGCCTAATCTGCAAGGACTAGGAACTCTGAAAGATATTTTACGTTGATGATATCAGCTGCTCACAAAGCTTAATTGACCATTGTAGTTTATGCCAGCATTTGTTTTGATTGCATGTTGTCTTTATTAGGTCCTTCCATATGCACTTTGATGAAAAGTCCATGTTTGCTGGAGATAAAAAAGGAGCCAAGTCACTAAAGGTAAAGCTAGTTTTCTGAATGACATCCAAAACACCTATTTTGGAGTTCGACTGTATAATTTTGGAAACCCCTTCTGCTTACCACAAACACACTGCTGAGAGTAAGGTTTTACCCCTACCTTTTGTAGAGCTCTATCTGAGGCCTTTTAATCAATGTTATGGTAAGGTGCTGTCCTGATCCAAGCAGACTGAAATCTCAGGCTTTTTGTCTTGACTCTGGCATCAGGACTGTGGTGGGGCACATGAATATTACCAGTAAATGCAGCAGCGCTTATTTTTGAGTATCTGTTTCATAATTATCTGAATAAAAAGAACCTATCCAGTCATGTTTGCTTTACAAAATTATGCCTTATATAATAGAACACAGTATATACAGTATAGTCTCATAATATGATACGTAACATTAGAAAATATAGTTCCTAGACATGGGAACCTAATGGAAATTCTATACCTACCCATCAGCTTCCAGTGTTAACATGCCACTGGTGTAAATTGCAATTTCGTAGTTGGAGTGGTGCTTGGTAATGAAGTTCTGTTTTAATATTTATTAACACTTAAAACCCTTAATTCAGTAGTGGTTTTAAATGTCATCAGCATTACCAAAAATGCTATTAGAAAAGTGGCAATGTTTTATCAGCCCAGCTAGTGTTTTTTTGGACCTTAAAAAATTGAGATTAGCTTAGTTAGTTCTTCACTGTGCTTGCTCCTGCTCTGCCTGAAGTTGGACAGGAACAGTCTACCCATAGTTTTGAACAGGAAATATCTTCTGTGAATTGTAACTTATTCGTCAAAAAGGTAATTTGTTCAAAAGGGATTTGAATAAGAAGATGGAAAAAAATGGTCAGGGACAGAGATACAGTGCTTATACCTCAGAAGATTTGGAGAAAGTTGGTAGGAAATCAGTGTACAGAATCCATGTATTTCCCTGTATATTCTGTTGTTCTGGGGGGATTTTTTTAAGAATTAAAAGGTAGAAGTGGCTTGGAAACCAGATTCTGTGTTTACATGAATCTTTGTTATGGCCTGACTACATAAAGCAATGGTTTTGTTCTGTTTGGGTTAGAGAATTGATATTCTAATGGTATTGGATTTCTAATGGTACTGTATTCATTAACATTTTGTTTTTGCAAAGCTAAGGTGTACATTAGCTTAAGCTTTTTTATTTTGTTTTTAACTGACAGGAAGAATTCAGATTGCATTTCAAGAACATCTCCCGCATAATGGACTGTGTTGGATGTGACAAATGCAGGCTGTGGGGCAAGTTGCAGGTACAGTTTATTTTGTGCAGGTCTGTGTATTCTGGCAGGGGCAGGTCCCAAGATAAGCATCTATTTCATTCTGGCAGGACATCTCTTACCTTAGCATTCAGGCTTTCTGCACATGGTTGGTGCTTGATATCCTTACCTTTATATTAAAAATAGGTATATGTTTAGTTTACCAATAAACATTTAAATCTTTTTCCAAATTGTTTATTCAACAGCTGTGTAGTTTGCTAAAAGGTATAGTTTGTGTGCTAAAAGAGTTACTTTTAAAGCAGATACTTCATGGTAAGATATTACTAACAGTCAGTATCTTACCTGTATTCAGCGATCAGATGAGCCTTGTAGAATCACTTATGGGAAATCTTCCTTTAAATATGGCACTTACTTTTTAGGGAATCCAGTGTGATATTTTACTCTAAAAATTGAAGTGTATGAAAAAGAAGTAATTCAACTTTTCACAGTTTATACAGAGGGCAGCAAATGAATGCAAAGGTGTGCAGTTAAACTGAAAGTTGAAAGCCAGTTTCATATTCTTGGCTACTACTTCTTAAAATTACTGACAACAGTATTTTAAACCTCAAAACTAATGTTAAGTCCAGACTGAGATGTTACTTTGGAGTGTCTGCTGTACTATACCACTGTATTACATTAAACTTATCATAGTGCAATTTTCAAAGAGTTTGTAGCATCAAAAATTTGGTGGTCTCTGCTGAATTTCTGGAGTTCTTCATATCCTGTCCTAGTTAATGCTTCTGATCTATTGTTGTTGTTCCTCCTCACTAAGAACTAAAGAAGGCCAGATTTCCTGACCTATAAAGTTCTCTTGCAACCAGTTTTAACCACTTTTTGTCAAAATCAAGTGGTTGCTTATGTAGCCCAATTAAAATTAAGAAAAGCTACTTCTGTTCTATTTCTGCATAGAAAATAGGGGTTGAAATTGAACCTGCATTGTTTGCCACTAGAATTGAAGGTGGGGAAAGTGCAGTTGTTGTGATACCTCATAAAAAAAAACTTAGTTTGACTTCAGAAGGGAAGGGGAAAGAAAAGGGGAGATGTGCTCCTGTGGGAGTTGGAGCTTCTATAAGCTGAGGGGCAGGAGGGAGCTGGAAGTGTTGTAATGGACATATTTTCATATGTATAACCAAGGAGAAAAGAGATGGGGAAAAAAGAGATTAAAAAGATAAGGATGAAGAGCAAATATACTTGAGGGAAAAAATGCTCCTAAATAAGTGAACCTGGCACACAATTGCTGTCATGTATTTGCATTAGTGCCCTGGTTTTTGTACAGTTATTTGGGTGGTTGAGGGTCAGTATATAAGAATTGGTACTAAAATTTGCCGAGATTAGTGTGTTTTTATTTTATTTTAATGAGTATTTGAAGGAATGATTTTACTGATATTAAAACTTCGGACTTTTCTTATAGACTCAAGGCTTAGGAACTGCTCTGAAGATTTTGTTTTCTGAGAAGGAAATACAGAGCCTTCCTGAGAATAGCCCATCAAAAGGTTTTCAGCTCACACGGCAAGAAATAGTTGCCCTTGTAAATGCCTTTGGAAGGTAAAATGTTATAATTTTAATAGTAGAAAAGAATAAAACTTCAGTGTCAATATGTGGAAAGACAGTATTGTGCATGAAGCTGTAGGTTTTGAAAGTCTGAGTTACTACCAGTGATATGGATAAACTTAATGCCTTCAAACTGAGCATGTGGATTATTAGCCTTAGTCTTCATTCTGTGTTTGGATCTAATTCATCCCTTCTGTCTCAAGACTCATAAACCTACCTTCTGCAAGATGAAATTTAAGTGTCTTACATTTTAAAAAAATTAATCAAATTTATCTCCTTCAAATGATGAAACATTTTAACTCCTTTAAAAGAAGTGTACATAGAGCATACTTTGTTCATTACGTTAGTTCTTCATATCTTGAATATAACAATCTGTTCCTGTTTAAACAATCTATTTAAACAATCTGATAAAATAATGTCATAAACTTTATTACCTGTGGTTAGGAATTTTTAGATGTTTAATGAAGCTGGGACAATTAAACATGTGTGTGTATACATATACACTATATATATATATATATATATATATATAAAAACTTTAATCCCTGTCATATATTATGTTAATGTAAAATGGAGAATCAATAGACCTTTTGAGAGAAAGTGTATCTTAAGTGTGCTAATCTTTGGAACAGAATTGTGTTTGAGGAAAAATCTAAAGTAAAATGAATGTGATCATTTGTACTTCTCTTTTGCTGATTTGGTATGATGGTTTTTGTTTTACAGGCTTTCCACAAGTATAAAAGAGTTGCAGAATTTTAAAGTTTTATTACAACAAACTAGGTAATGAAGGTCTTTGCACAACCTGTTAGTGAAGATCATTTACATGACTGCGTTGAGCAGAAGGAACTGATCCTTACAGGACTCACATGAACTGATAAAAAGTAAAATCAAATCCCAACTTGAATATTTATGTTTAAACTAGGAATGGTTATTAATTAGAAAATATATTTATGAATGAAATATATAGTTTTTAAATGTGTAAATTATGCTGATCTGTTTATTTTTTAAGTTTTCTGTTCACAGTTCTGTTGAAACTTCATAAATTTTCTTATTTCCTTTTCTTTCTGAGACAGCTGTTTTATATGAAAACATATGTACCTCCACCCTGACTTGCCCCATCTGGAAAGGGGGGGATCACTTCTTGTGTTTCCCCATTTACTGAACTTCAGTGCATTCTGAGGATTTGGTGTGTTAGTTCTGACTGTCAGAGGTGGGTGGGGGGGAAACCTCCAAACAAACAAAAGATAACAACAAAAAACTAACCACAAAAAAGAAATAAGGCTCTTCCTGAGTTTAGCTTCTTACTGTAATAATGAAACTTACTTAAAAATAGCAAATTTAATGAGCAGAAAATTTTTTCATGCTGGCCTTCCTTTGCATCATGAAGATACCAATTTTTTTGCCCTTGTCTTGTGATTTTCAGCACTTTTTTTTTAATTACTACCTTGTCTCTGATGCAGCAGAGTTGAAAGTGGCTTTTCTGTAGCCCCTTGCTGCAGCTCCTTATCTGCATTTACTTGGAAGTAGGGGTCAGGACAGGGGGGAGATGGTTAGTGGAGTGCTGCTAGCTGAAAAACCGCAGTCAATCAAATTTCTGTTTACTCCATATTATTTTTCTGGATTGTAATCACAAGTTCAAAAGTTGTCTTTTTAGTGTCTTAAATGTTAAAATAGCACACTTGGTCTTTGAGCCATGGAAATAAATTTGCTCTTTATGAGTTATGTTGGAGTGCTATGTTAAAAGGTCAGTGTAAAAATAACTTGCTTTTTTAGCCACTTTTGAAAAAGATGCTTTTTAAAATTCATAATCATACTGACATTTAATGCCACATACTCTATCTATGCAAACCCATACTGTATCTTCTTTAAAAGGATATTCAGCATTAAAAAAACGGGTATATTAATAACATTTCTTTCATAAAATAAAAAATTACTCATATATCATTGTCCACAAAGTCAGTGATAACTTACCAGTGTCAAAACAGAATTCAGAAACAGCATCATCATTAGTAGCAGCCAAATATTGGTTTAAATTTTAAATGAAGTAATAATTTCTTTTATACCAGCATGTTTAAAAATGAAGTTAGGTGTTATGAATGTAGGAAGTGCTGGTGCAGTGTAGGTACATCTCTTGTTTTTAAAAACAAGTCTTCACAAAATTAAGTGCTCTTAAACATTTTTCACCCTATTAGATACTGAGTGATCTATTATATAATTGATTGTAACTGTATTGGCTTCCATAATGTGTTCCTTTATAGCTGAAATTTTCTGAAGGCTTTGTTTCCAGACTAGCTTCAAATTTCTACCTGACTGGAAATGAAATAGACTATTCTGCTGACACTTGGCTTTTATAAAAATGCTGTTGCTTAAGAAAGTTAACCCCTTTGTGTCAAACTGTGATGTGCTAAATGAAATTTAAAAAAATAGAAAGGGAAATAAAAAAACAAACAAAATCCAAACCACCCTTAATTTGGTGATAGTTGCACAAATTGGCAGTGAACTGGTATCCCAGTGGAAGTTTCTGTTTAACCTTAAAGGTAATTGGACATGGTGTTAGGGGAAGCTGATGCCAGTTTGGGGATGTTATGTTTTTTCCTAGTAGCCTCTCTGGCCTGTGGGCACCTGTGACTGAGCAAGGCTTTTGTTTTCTAGTTAAGCAGAAGAGCAGGAGGTTTCTAGATGGATTCATCTGGCCTCTTCCAAGCTCTGTATTTGCACCCTCAGAGTTTATTTTTCTCTATTAAATTGAAGTGGGAATCTAGGTAAGTAGCTCAGATGTGAACAGCTGTGTTTAGTAGATGTGTTATACCCTGAGTATCCAAATCTTCTGAGTAATTGTATATATTGAAAGAGTGTAATTTTTAATTGGCTGTTAATTCTTTGCCTTTTGGATTGGATAGACCTGCAAGGGCTAGAACTGTAGGCTCACTTGTGTGAGGAGTGCCGTATAACTGGGATTTATCTGTGTTATATTATAGTGCCTAAAGCTTTAGGCAGAGTTTTCTAGTTAAAATAAAAAACAAAACTGTATGACTGTGCTGCCCCAGGAAGGACCTAAGTCTCAGAAATGTTTCTTCCTTTTTCCCCCTTGCTGTGTGGGGAAAGTGAATTGCTTCCAGCCTCCTCCTGGGGATGCAACTTGCTATTTTTTTTCTTTCTCCACCTGTGCCTGGCTAAAATCAACAGACACTGAAGCAGAATCATGCACTTGCTCATGGGACAGGTGAGAGATTCAGGCATGCAGATCCTGGCACCTGGTCCTTGCAGCCCTCATTGGTGCAAGGTAAATACTGTTGGGTAAGGACATAAAGAGATGTGAAGGTTTTCTTCTTTTCCTTTGTGTCATGGCAACACAGGAATGCAACTGAACAGCAAATTGTATGTGTAAGTTCTGTTGCACCTGAAGGTACATATCTCTTGATGATCAAATATGGAAGGCATTTCACTTCACTGTCGTTATAGAGATAGGACATAAGATTTTTCCTGTAACAGATCTAGTTGAAACAATTTTCCTGTCACCATCTTTTTTACTGTATTTGATGTACATTCTGTGACTTCGCTGCCTATGAAGTTTTGCTGTGTGAGTTGGATGACTTAGTTCTTTATATGTTAAATTAAATTTTAAAAATTTACAGCTCTTTTTTTATACTAAAGAATAAGGTTAGTTACACCGTCCATGACCTGTAAACTGTTTTAAATTCCAGCTCCCTGTTGGAGATCAGCTTGTCAACACTGTCTGCCATTTATTTCAAAGTAGCAGTACCTTCCTTGTACAAATGACACAATGATTGTAATCCCAAAGGTAGTGAGAAGACAAAGACAAAAATATTTACTTATTCCCAAGTCATGAAGACTTGTGTAAAATGGTGAAAAAAGACTTGCATAGGTAAAAGTCAAAAAAAAAAACTGCATAGGTAAAAAGTAGGGCACTGTTACTGAATAACTTGTTCTTCAGTGCCTTAGGAGGTAGGTCAGAATATAAATTTAAAACAATGAAATATAGACTTGTGTAAGCTGGAATAATAAATGTTTTCCTAGTTTTCAGCTGATGATCTGTGCTGTCATTGTATGTGCATGAAATACACTGTGCCACATTTTCTTGAGTTGTGTTTGATGGTTGGGTTGCCTTTATCTGACCTTGCTTTGTGCTTTTCTGGGAAATGACTTGTAATATTTTGTAAATAATCTTGATGCTCATGTTTATAAAGTAGCAATCAGCAATTCATCACTTCACAATTTCTCCATATAGCTATCCTATTAAAATGTAATATTTATTAAAATCAGAATCAATGTTGGAACTGCTTATTGAGATCTAAACACTTCTGAATCTTTGCTATGTTTGAATCTACAAAATGCAAATTAAAGTATTTTCTGCTACACCTTTTTGTGGATGTGATTTTTGGTGTTTCATATGAAAATATATTTTTTGATTTTTATTTACCTTTCAATGACACTTGATAGCTATTACATAAATTGCTTTTGTGATAATCATGTAAGATTAAAATGATGATATTTTCACTCTCACTTAAATGTCATTCAAAAAATGAAGGTAACCTGTATATTTCTTGCTGCTTACATTGCACTGTAGTGTGTCTGCACATCAGGAATCCATTGTAGAATTACAGTATGTTTCTGTATGAATATCACCAAATTTAGCCCCTGCTTAAATCCAATTGTTTTAAGATACAAAAAGGCTTATTTAGAAATGAAGTCTGTTCTGTCCCTTTCTCAGAATAGCTTATAAAATCAATTTTGTAAATATTTTTTTGGTTTGTTCATCCAATGGAGGTCTTTATGTTGAAATTATTTCTCTGGAAGGGTCTCTTTTTCCTTCCATGTATGCATTTTTAACAAATTATCTTACCGAAAATCTGATATTTCATCCCCAGCATAGGTAAGTGCCTGTTAGGTGATGATAAATAGAAGATTTTACCTCTCACATTGTTAAAATCTCCTTTGTTTTAGAGTATTTGGTTCATTACCATGGTTGGTTACAGTCACTTGACTGTGCGCATACTGGGTATAGGGCTGAAGTTTGTTGTAAGTGCAGAATGCTCTTTAAGTTTTTGCTGTTCAGCTGTAACTGCTGTGAACATAAAATTCCTGCAGACTTCTCTTGCACTGGGTCTTCAGGCAGTTTTGTACAAACATGTACATTTGTAGATGTAGAATTTGTACAAACATGCATTTGTAGATTGTAGAACTCCAAAGCGTTTAATAAAATTTCATTTCTCCCAACATTATATTGTTATTTCTTTTAATCTGGCTGATAGTTTAATTGGCTTTTTTTTTTTTCTTCAATGAATACATGTGAAGAAGGCAATTTAAGCATTGGGAGGACAAATAGTTAACTTCTGCTGGAGGTAAGGTTCATGCTTTGGCTTTACTATAAAGACCCCAAAACCCAAAGATACTGTGGAAGACTTGATGTGGGAGTATGGCACTGCTTTGCCTTTGGCTTTCAAGCAGATCTAATCAGATCTACTCCCCATCCCTTCTTTTTTTATCCTGTATATTCTCTGTGAAATGTACACAAGAATTTTCAACTACTTGTACTTCCTGAAGTCTAGCATGAAGAAAACATGAGGCCCATCCACCATTTGGGTATGCTGTAGTACACCTCAAAATGGAGTACTTCTATAGAAGTAAAGATTACTGGAAGTAGTGTGCTTTCCTCCTGAGGATATGTGGATTGAGTTACAGTATTTGTTCCACGTTGGTAAGGAGAAAGATGCTGGGGATGCAGAGTTCTTTACTGCTGAGAACTGGGCGTAATAAGAAGACCTGAAGTAGAGTCAGGGTTCCTGTTTGCCTTAGATTAGTAATAATTACTTTTAGGCTTACTCTCTGCAACGTCACATCCTGGAATAGTATTTATCCACCATTTCTCCCCAGAGCTCACTACATTTATCCCTGAAGATACAAGGCTGAAGCACAACTTTTCTAGCTTGTTTTGCAGAAAGGCACTTTTGAGATTCAGGTTCTATAAACAAGTCTGTACTGTTATATGTATCCCTCTCCCTGGTGAGGTATTTGACTTGACTTAGTCTTCAATATAATATATGTAGATCTGATTGGTGGGTATAATTGCATAACTTTAATTTTTCAAGCATACAAATTTTCAGCTTGTTTTGCAGTTCACAGTGCTCCAGTTGGAGCAGATGCCAATATCTACTCTTTTGAGACTGTCCCTAAAGCTGCTGAGAAGATATACTTTTCTTAATTTCTTAGAAGAACACAGGGTACAGATAACTTCTAGCCTCCAACTGTCACACCACACTTAGTAAGCAGTGATATCCAAAGAGTAAATTGTACTCTGAGAACATAGCAATAACTTGAAAAGACAGTATTTAATTAGGTTGATATTTTTTTCTTACAGGCTTTTATGTGCACATAAAAATTGCAACTGTCATGCATTTGAAAAATCTATTCACGTGTTTACAGTATAATGATAATATATTTCTAACAATACACAGTGTAAAAATAAAAATACTTAGAAAATAATTATGCCATTTCACTTCATGAAATCTGCTCTTTTAAAATGAGCATAAAAATGATTAAATTATACCTTCTAACAACTCTATTCAAAGCCAAAATACCATGGCTTAGAACAAGGTATTAATCGGAACAGTCTTCAAAGTTTAAATCATTAGCTTATACTTCTCCTTGAACTATGAAAAGCTCATGGCAAGGTTCTTCATTTATGTGTGCATAGGAAAATTTCTAAAAACCAAAATGTGAAGAAAAGTTGCTAAGCTTTTTTGTAACATTGGTTTTAATATTGGAATGTCCTAGAATGCTGTAGTTGATTGAAGTTAAATAGGGCTTGGCCGGTCTGTGTCCAGTGCTGGATCTTGTTGGAGGGATCCTATGTAAGCCATGAAGCTGTTGTTCTGATGGCTCCAGTCATAATAGTCTGGAGAGAAACTTGGAAAGAAAATAGAAGAATTAGTGACTGGCAGAATGGTTCTTTAAGCACCTAGTTAGAGAACATAGGGAAAATGCAATCATGTAGAGGTTGTTTTCCTGCTGAAGTGCAAAAATAAAATAAACCTCCAACCCAAGGGGTACAGGCAGCTACTTATTTTTCTGATCTATCAATTATTTTGGCCCAAGTGTTCATTATCATTATCCTGGTTATCTTAGTTCACTAAAGACCCTCCCTTTTCTGATTTGCTGTTCCAGAAGGTGTTGGAAAATCCCAGAAATGGTGCTGCTCATCCCTGCCACGTCCTGTCTCTGCAAGGGCCTGTCAGAGATCTAAACCTCCCGTGTCTGTGTCCCAGAGCCCAGGACATGGTTTGCAGCTCTGCCACGCTGTCTTTTCTCCCACGAGCAGCATGACACTGCATATGGCTGGTTTGGCTTCCACTGGGAGCTGTGCATGTGTTACCAGTGTGGCTGGTTCCCTGATGGCTCAGTATGGAAGAGAAGGTGCCTCTGGTTCTAGGATGGGATACCAGGCTGGCTCAAAACCACCTCCAGCATCCTTCATGGGCTTAATTCCTATGTGAAAAACTAATTAATGTAGGAATTGAATGACTGGTAACTGTAAATAGTGAGTGTGCAACTTTACTGAGCCATGGTCTGGGCTCACAGTGACTCACTCCACTGTCTCACCTGAATGAGTGACAAGAACTAAATCTGGGTTATGTTAACTACAATTGGCAACTCAGCCAGCATCTTGAGTGGTTACATTAATCAATTCACGTCATAGTGTAACTACAGCCACAGCAAAGGGATAACACAACTGAGATTCCTTTCAGGGCAGGATGGAGTCCTGTCAGTGCCTTTCCTTCTCTGAATTGGGTGCTACCATTTCTCATGTGAACTGCTCCTTCCTGGACCAGAATCCTTACCGAAACCACACAGCTGTGCAGAGAAGACAGAATTTTTGTGCCAGTTCTGGGTTGTGTGGGATTTCAGCAGTTTGGTAGATTTTTCTAAGCTTTCAGCATGTGGGAAAGCAGATGCTCCCTTCATTTCAGGTCACCCTCAAGATACTTAGCCATGTCACAGGGCAACCTAAGTTGAAAGCCTTCTTGCTACAACTGTCACAAGCTGCTGCCTGTGCTGTCCAACTTTTCCCTGCTCTGCCTGAGTTGGGAGAGAGCTGTTTTTCCAGGCAGTCTTGCCCTCACACCTGAATGAGTAAATGGAATTTCTGAAGCCACTCTTGGAAGAAATAGAGGATGAAACAAAGTTCTGACCTGAGTTTTTCAATGAGCAGTACATTGGTACAATTCTTAAATTATGTAACATTTTTCATTCTTGTGTCTTTATAGTGTCTATGGGGCCCTTGGATCCCCAGTCACTCAGTGCTGCCTTTCCACCTCAGCTTCCCCTTTTGCTTCCCCTCACCCTGCTGGGATTTATGCAGCAATTGCAGCTAGACAATTCACATCCATCTTCTGTGGTGTGTCAGAGTTCCTCCTCCTCCAGTTTCTGTTTTAGGCAGCAATAAGTTCACTCTTGTATCTCACCTGCCCTGTGGCCCCTGTGGTGCAATATTCCAGGCTAGATCATCGTCACTGTCGTATCTGCGGGGATTGTCAAAGAAGTAAGACCTGGGACTGAAGCCGTGGCTTGGGACCATTCCTGCATTGGCCTGAGGGAAAGGAAACCTCAGTCAGTATTTATTTGCAACATATATCAAACAGCTGTTTGTCAATTGCCTGGTGCCTGACTTCCAGAAGTTGCTGCCAACTTGCTGCATGGTTTCCAAAATAAAACATGCAATTTTGCTTTTTCTGAAGACAACAGAAATAATTTTGCATTTATTGTTAATCTCTACCAGCATAGTGATATTGATATCAACAGCTTTTATTTGTCCTTATTTCTTAGCTAACACCTGACCTTCTTCTGAAGCCACCAGTCTGCATTCAACCTTTCTGCTGAATTCCTGTCCATCCAGGGCACTCCATGCTTTTAGCCACCTGACAGGAAGCGAGCAGTAGGAAGCAGCCAAGGAGCTGAAGGAAACATCTAAAGAAATTTGATTTTTAACTCCTACTTTGCTAACACTCCCTCGTGGTGCCTTATCTCCCTTACCACAGAAACTCATCATATTGAAGCTTGGCATCCTGCTTAGTGAACCCACATCTGAAAAGTCCCTTAGGCCCTCACCAAGCAATTTCAGTATCTAATCTATAGTGCTGTGAGGGTCAAATCCTGAGGTCAGGTCCTTTGACAAACAGGGACATATGACTCTTTCATTTACAAAGCATTTTCACTGTATTTCCCTGTGAATCAAAACAGAAAACATACAAGGTGCAAGAAATCATTTTGATTCCAGAAACAGTGTAGACATCTAAGAACCTGCTGAGCACTGATCCACTGCTCCCATTCCCAGGGAAGAGGGGCTCACTGTGCCTGTGGATAAGTAGGATGACATCTTCTCTCTGGCCTTAAAAAGGAGAGAAGTTTGATCTCCCCCTTCATTTTATGTGTTAAATAACTTTGACAAAGATGAAAGGAGGATTAAGTGCATTCTGTCATGCCCCCCTTTTCCAACATTTGTCTGGTTAAAGGTATGGCAAGGCAAAGGGCCACATGGTGATGTAACCCTGTGTCAGCACCAGAGCCAGCAGCTCATTCCAGGCAATAATCACTTGAGGAAAGGAGTTTCATATTTGAGCAATGCTGAATGCAGGATGCCTGCCTCTACTCAAACTTTTTGATTCTGAAGTCCCAAATGAACCATGAAACCAAATAACTATTTCTCAGGATTCTTTATTAAAAATAAATAATATTTTTAATTTTTACCTAATCAGACTTGTTATGGTTTTGTTTATTTAAAGGAGAGAACTTTAATTCTAACCCCATGCTTTCTGGCCAAGTAGCAGCCTACTGAATGCATTAGCCTAAAATCCTGCGGCCCTTGGTCTCCCTCTTGTGGCAACATTACACTGAAGTTCAGTTTTCTCTTGCTACAGTCTATTCCTTTTTTGTTCAGTTCTACTTATTCCTGGTCTTCCTCTAAATAATTGTCCTATGTGAGAAAAAAAAAAATATATATGACCTAACCTATATGACAGATAATGTTTACCCTAAAAAAGGTATTAATAAAAGAAGTGATATCACTGATTGCCTCTTCTGAATTGTGTCTTTATGGAGATTTAAAGCTTTCTGCAAATCACAATGCAAAAATATGTTATACATGTTACTGCCATGCTCTTGTGGGAGAATACTGCCAGTCTGACTCCATTTGAGCTCTTGTTTGGTTAGGATTCCAAGGC